ACATGCCTATATTTAGACCTCTATAAATGTCCTTTGCCTCCCAGTTATTTCCTCTATTTCCTTTTACTTTGCTCTTGTCCCACTATCATATTTGGCCTTCATTCTGGTTTTAGTAATTCCTCTCAGCTATATTGCCTTTGATCAAGCCCCACCAGGCATCCTATGCCCTCCTTGTCATCAATTTTAGATCACTTGTTTTTCCCTTGTCCCTGTGCCCCCCAAGAACTGTCAGTCCCATTTTTTTCTCCTCCAGATTATATATCCTGCCTATCTTTTCTACATAGACATTCATTGAAAACAATAATAACAAAAACAAGACAAAGCAAAACATCAAAAGAAAACAAAACAATAACAACAGAAACAGAACAACAAAAAAAAGAAACGCCTATAAATAGGCTGACTTTTGCTGACCTTTATGAGTGTATTCTGGGCGAGGCTGATGGGTCACCATGCTCTGGCCCCTAAGTCTATTTTTGGTATTCCTCAGGGACTTCATTGCTTTGCTCCCCTTGCTGCTCTGTTGCACACCCTTAGTGTTTCGCCCCTGTGGTGGGGTCAGATCGGGAGGGAGGGACCAGAATTCAACCTGGTGTACCAAGATGTGAATGCAACATACCAGCATAGATAATTTGGCAAAGGGGGCATAGGGGAAAAGCTACTACATACGCACATTCCTGGGGTGAGGACCAGGTACTGTGGCAGGGGTCAGACCCAATCGAGGGATATATATGTCAGAGCAGAGAATGCACAGAGAGAATCAAAGGGCCTGCTTCACTGGCCCATAGCGCTACAGAGGGCAACACTGGAGACACAGTAACCTCTCCAAAAGGCATGGATAGCAGGGAGGGTATTTTTTATATCTCTTCATGGTGTCTGCTGATATGTCTGAGCATATTTTTATCTGAGTACCTTTATAGGTGATTACCTTTTTTGTCCCTTGCTGCTCTTATGATTTTCTCCTCTTCCTCAAATTTGGATAGTTTCACTACTATGTGCCTTGGTGACTCCTTCCTGGGATTCAGTCTAGCTGGTGTCTTCTCTGCTTCCTGAATGGTTGCCTAATTCTCTTTCATTAAGCTGGGGAAGTTTTTCTTCCAGGTATCCCCTTGCTATTTTTGCAGTTGACTTTTTGGTTGTATCTCGTTCTGGTAATCCAATCATTTGAATGTTGTTACCATTTCATGGCATCAGCTATTGTTCTTAGGTTTTCTTCAGCTTCTTTGATTAACTTGTTTGACTCTTTCCTGTTTGTTGAAGTCTGTCTAATTTTGTATATCTATGCATGGAATGAACGTAACTATGGGCGCTTAGGATACTCTGCTGCACAGATGATCATTCAAGAAGAGTACAGAATGTAAAATTTGTAATTTCCAAAGCCACCCACCCTAGAGAGAACCCTGATTATGTCATCTTAACAACCCATTCACGAAACTCAACAAAGAATTAGGTATAGCTTCTGCCACATCAGTGCAAACTGGCTGCCTCCCACCACTGGATATTTGTGGTTGTTCCTTTTATGCTTTAAGTCATCAATTAGCAAATGAAGTTCCAAGAGCTTTTCTCAACCCACGTCATGGAAGTTGACCCTTCTTTAAATGGATAATTCTTCTCAGTAGTATTCTGAGTGCCTTCTAACTCAAGGAGGTTATTTTATCTTCCAACACTTTATCAGACATCAATCCACTACGATCCATAAAGTTTTCATTGGTATTTTTTTTCAGAAGTAGATCACCAGGCCCCCATGTTTACCTAGAAGCTCCATTAAAACCTATCCACCCCAGGTGGCCCTGCTGGTATTTTAAATACCAGTGACATATGACAAACTGACAGACAAGTGGTGGAAACATTTTGAAAGAGAATGGACCAAGCTCCTTACTATATCTTAGCATCTCTTCTATGGCAATTAGGCTGTCAGTAAAAAATTGTTAAGTGAATGAATAAAGTGGTACTTTGCCATCTTACTTCATCTAATCATGAACACAAAAATTAACTTTTAAAATGTATCAAAACATTATCTTTCCCAGAGTTCTATATTTCATGACTGATCTCATGAAAAGGGAATAAGATGTGTTAGTTCCTCCTTCTTGATTTTCATCTTTCATAAAGTCTTGAATCAAATTCCTCTACTGGGAACAGTTTACAAAGAGTGTTGTGCTATTGTCTTACAGTGAATTGTCATGAACGCCCTTATCAAACTCTAGGTCCTAGATTTCCAGCAAAACCCTTTGGCTTGTTAAATAGAGAACCAAGTAGAAAAACAATTTAACCATAGCACCTGTCTGCTGCCCACCAGGGGACTAAATATTTAATCAGTAAATAGTTGGTGCCCATATACCTTCCAGGCATGTGCTTTACCCAGCTTTTTGTTAGTAATGGAATAATCTTGTCATAAAAATACTTGAAGATGAATTGCACTAAGAACGCCTGTGGGTGTTTTTGTCAATCTCTTGTCACCTGTATGGATCAGAGGCAAAGGCAGTGATGTGCTTCCCTGCTACCTAGCAATGTAGAGTTTAAGCAGGTTGTCAAATAATAATAAGTGATTACAGGTGTAAGACCTCTGTGGATTAAAAGCCCAAACAGGAACACTTAAGCCCTTGTGATGTTTGCAAATATTGACTTTGGGTGACTGTAACTGCCAAGGGCAGCCCCCTGCAATGCTCCCTGGGGTTAAATTGATAGCAGCCAGCGGGCACTTCAACACGCACACATTTCTTATAGAGAACAGATGGTTAGGGGAGGGCCTAGACACAGAAGCAGATTTATCTGCTCAGGCTGTTATCTCTAAGCAAATGACCTTGGGCAGGTCATCAATAGTCACATGACCATAATGTGGTTCAGGGGTCTCCTTAGGTGATGGCTGTTCATTAGCTCTTCCCTCTTAGGACTCAACCGTCTGACTTTGGGGAGTCACTTAGTTTGTTTCTTTTTCTGGTTTGCTTTTTAATTTGATATTATTGTAGTAGAAGGAGCCCTGGTGGCATCGTGAGTTACAAGTCAGGCTGCTAACCACAAGGCCATTAGTTGGAACCCAGTAGCCACTCTGAGGGAGAAAGATGAGGCTTTATACTCCCATAAAGAGTGACAGTCTCAGAAACTCACAGGGGCAGTTCTACTATGAGTTAGAACTGACTGAATGTGAATGAGTGAATGCTGTAGTGTGTTTGTATTTTCAGGTATCATATCTTATGCATGAATCCTAGTGAATGAAAAATGGATATACTTTTGAAAATATTTTATTTGCTTCCGTCTGGATGTGTACATATCGGAACCTTTACTTTTGATGATAGGCATATTTCTCCTGAGGGAGGAAATGGACAGATTTTTATAGATAGTCAAGGCTCAGCTTCAGGCTTGCTAGAGACCCTCCCTTCCCCCC